CTCACTGCTGGTCCCACTCGCTCTGCACGTTACCTGTCCGAGCCCCAGCGTTATCGTCCCACCATCGGCAAGCCAGAAGCTGTTTTCAGGGGAACACTGAGCCCACAAGGAAGTCAGCCAGTATTTAGAGCCTTTATGGCAAGGCTGATGTCAACTGAAAGCAAACAAGTGCAGTGAGCAGGTTGGAGCTCATTCTGTAGGAAGGTTTACTTCCTCATTTGGCTAGCTGATCCTTCATTTAACTGCACAGGTTGATAAACTTTCACTTCATTTTTTTCAAAAGGAAAAAAAAAAACAACCAGAGGTTCCCAACAACATATCTCTGTTCTGAGTCACAGGCAAAGATTAGTCAAGCCCTCACTGGCAGGGATCCAGAGCACCCCAGCAGCCAGAACACGGCCCATGGATTAATTCTGGGTTACATGGGCAGTTTTCCATCAAGGATGCTTGACCAAGTCACCTCGACCTCCTCCCCTGATATCTAGCAAATCCCTGACCTCCAGAGACATCAGGGAAAAGAAATTGGTGTTTTTAGTAGCGCCTGGCACTGCAAAGCCTCATTCCAACACATCCACATCTGAGAGAGCTTCTTGTGATGCTACAGTAAAATAGATTTCAAAAAATAAATAAATAAAGCAGCCTGTCCAACCCAGCCCAGCTCACTGGTGCCTGAACTAAGAGCCAGCTGTGGTGGCAGGCAGTGTGTCCGCAGCCAGGACTGCCAGCCAGGCACTTCCCAGCAGGAACCTGGGGTTTTTCTCCCGCTGGCTCCTCAGCTCGCTGCAGGCAAGCCTGCCGAGACCCGCAGGGAGGCAGAGGGAGGGCGCAGGAGGCGAGGTGGGGATAACCCTGGGACACCTTCGTGGCCACAGACAGCTCTGTGGGGTCCCCGCTCCCTGCCCACTGGCTGTGGGGCAGGAGGCAGGGTGGCGGAAAGCTCCGTGCCGGCACAGCGCTTGGCCACCCACAGCCAAGGAGTGGGTGGCTGCGGGTCAGCCTTAGCAAGTGTCAGCAGGCCATGCGAAATAAAGGACTGGTTTTGACCCTAAAATGGTCTCAAAACCCTTTTGCTCACCAGCTCAGATAAACATTTGAGAGCCCCAGGCGGTGGATTCGTAGACATTTCCTCTCCCTGCTGCTTCCTTGTGCTGACGAGCACACCAAATTCTCCCGGTGCAAAGATTTATTGCTTCTTGATGGTGTTGTTACGTTCAATAGGGAAACGGATCCAGTGGGAGAGGCTTTCTGCAGGGAGGACCCATTCATGGATGTTCCTGTGCCGAGCTGACATCTGAGGATTTACTGCCCTGCGAAACAACTGGGCTCTCACCAGCAAGAATTATTACCAGCCTCCGAGCCAAACAGCCTGGCTGTGCCCAGGGAGGACCGAGCACGCCACCTCAGCAGGCCGCCCGTGCAGTGCCACTGTCCCCCTGGTGTCAGGCACTGTGTCATCCCAGCACGGAAAAATGTTCTCTTGAACCTCGTAGCGGGCAGCGTCACAGCTGGCTTGGTCTCCACGCCCCAGTGGGTTATGAGCTTTGCACCAGGGAACACGCACTCATTGCATGAGCAGCACGGAAAAGCGTTCCTGCCTTCCTCACCTTCACTCGCTTTCTGGGAAAATGAAACAAATCGACGTGGCTGTAGCATCACAGTGACAATTCCTTAGTCCCCAACCAGTCGGGGTAAAGCAAGAGCTTAATCAAACGCAGCCCTACTGCCAGGAGTGTTTTACGTAGCTCCTGGAACCAGCACCCCCCCACCCTGCCTCAGGCAGGAGGACACCCCTGGGGCAGATCCTCACCCCATGCTACAACCCGTACCTTGGTTAACCCTCACTAAGCAGTCCTCACCATACAGTCCAAGCTACGCTCCTGATTTTTAATATGTTTCTTTGTGCTCTGTTAGGCAAAGTCTGGACATTTTCTGCCAGTGAAATTCTCACTGCTGGAGGCACTGGAAACACTGATGTTGTTGACAACCCAATAGTCAGGTAGGTGAAGAGGCAGTATCCTTACAAGAGGTGTTTCTACACGCTTGCCAAAAAGACCACCTTCCCCTCGCCCCAAAACATACAGCAGTCGTGAGCTCTGCATCTGTCCACAGAAGAGAGCGAAGAAGAGAGACGTGTGTCTGAACAGCGCGGCCAGCGGGCAGGTTGTTGCTTCTTGGAAAATTTCAATCCCATCTCCAGATCTGACACAGCAGGAACCCAGCTTGTTTTCGCCAGTCTGAAATACCTATTTTTCCTCCTGCCTTCTTACAAAAAAGATACTGCTATTAGTCAAGTGTTTTCCACTAAGCTTATATAAAAAGTACCTTTTACAACCAGAAAGCCCCAAACAAGTTTCGAGTTCAAAAGTTTACCACTGCTCGGCTTAAGATTTCAGAAAGCTCTCGGAGCCGTCTTTCGGTTTCAGAGATTTATCACATGCTCGGTAGACCCAAACCTTAGTATGGCTTATCGATGCCTTTTAACTCGCATACCACGTTTTATCAAGACTACACCGGCCTGTTCACTGAGAAAAAGCACATTCTGACAGCAGCCAGGCCCAAAGCTGGCACACGTCCCGAAGGAAGATCCCACAGCGTCACCGTGCCAAAACGGGAATCTGCAAGGATGCTCTGATGTTGTCAGCTCCCTCACCCACATGAAGCACAAACCAAGCTTATGCTCAAGGAGTTTATAAGCACACTAAGGAACTTTGGGGGGAAAAAAGTCACCAGCAAGAATGCCAAGAGCCATCAGGCAGAGCACACCAGGACAAATGAACAAATGCAGGGTTATGAATGATTTGGGGCAACTGCTTCTTGTCAGCCCTACTGGGAACACCATTATGGTGTACATAATTCCTATTTTATTTCTGCTGGCTTCTGTGACACCCATAGGAGTTAAAACAGAGCTCTCTTGCAAAACCCTAGCCTCCTCGTTTGCTTTCAGTGCCTTAAGATCAAACGCCATCGATAACGTGGCTGTTTTAGGGAGCTCATTTATGCCTTTAGCCTCTGAACAGCGAGCCCAGAGCATGCACTGTTCCCCTTTGAACAGGCTCCAGCTAAGTTCAAGTGAAGAAGTGGTATTTCTGCCGTACCATTTGGGGCATTATTCTCAATATCACAGAGGAAGGCGGTTTGGTTTGGTTTTGTTTTGTCTTCTAGTTACCACAAGCACCAAAGGTCAACCCCAAAACTGAGGTTGGAGATAGCATTGACGAAAAGGAAATGAGGGTAGAGAAGTGGGAGCTCTCATTAGAATACAAGCAGGCAGCTCTCCAGCTGCTGGATAAGAAGTCCTGTCGGCTCTGCTAGGACAGGATCAGCAGCTTGTGCCCGTGCTGTTGGCTGCTGGCACAGCTCGTGCGTGCCATTCCCCGAAGCACCACACGCACACAGCCGCCCCTTCCCGCAGCTGCAGCCAAGTCCCGTCTAACTCACGGCACGCAGCACTTGACCTGTCTGCCAGGTGAACGTCAAGTGTTAGCAGGGCAGCCCAGAAATGCAGTCTCCTTAAGCAGTGCTTGAAATTTAGTACTTGCCTCCTCATACCGAACTCTCTTGCTGTCGCTTATTTTAGCATTAATGTTTGAAAATTGCTGCTTAAAAACATAAAGAGTTAAGCCCCGCAGCCTGAAGTTACGAGATCCAGCAACCCCATGACATTACATTTTTAGAAGCACTAAGGCATATTCAAAGCCAGACACCTGAGTTCTTTCAAATGTGCTTATTTATTTTCTTATTCTGAAGACTCTTTGGCCATCAACACAAAAGTAACTGTTCACTTCCATACGCTATTCATATCAACACTTAATTGTTCAGAATTTACCTGTTTTGAGAGAAGAAGCCATCATTTCTGCTGCTGAGAAGTGAGCACATTTTCCAGGAACAGCGTGCTTGTTGTATACACCAAGACGTTTCATATTCCCACAGGTGCTTGGGCTCTAGCTGAAGCCCAGGAAAGGCGACTGAAACTTCGTGCTGTTGAGTCATTTTTAATCTTCTTTCCCACAAAAGGATTCTTACAAGAATCCAGCTTTTTCCTCAGAGTGGAAACTTTCTTCTTTCTATGACTTCCTGTTCTAAAACCAGCTAGAGCTTCACTGCCTCAGCACCTCCACATCCTTGTCAAACTTTGCCAATGGGTTTTGGTGTTCAAAATGTGCCACTGAAAAGAACTGGGAACGATGCACCAGTTCAGACTTTATTCTGTAACAAAACAGGCTAAAAGCAGGAAGAGCTAGAGAAAACCTACTGCCTCAGCAGCACTACTACAAATCATCACATCCTGGTCTTGTAGAGGTCTCTGGAAATCTGATGGATTTAAGGAAGAAATCTTCTCAATGCGGACAGTGTGCAGTCCTCAGCGCCAGCCCCCCGACATACTCCCGAGTGCGGGCTTGTTTCTTTCTCTTGTGGGACAGGAACCCAGGCATGTGCTCAGGCTCTGTAAGGACTGCACAAGTTCCTGTAAGCCCCCAGTGGCTTAGCAGCGGTTAAGGAAAACTGGACATCTAGTTGCATGCTTTGGAGCACATGAAAGATGGAAAGGAAAGATGTAGCAGGAGTGTATTGTTAGCCAAGTACACTTGATGTTTAATGAACCAGAGAGGTTAGATGGCTCTGCAGAGCACACTCCTGTACACAACATCCTTCAGCATCCTCGTTTAGTCTGGGTCTGAATATTGTAGGCACCTGGCCTGGCCTGCTAAGTCAGAATTTTCTGCCATGGGGTAAACAGCTTCTTTGTTCCTGTAACAGCAGCCCTCCTGTAGGAGCACGTTAATCAGGAGCTCGCTTTCCACATGCGGCCCCTTCAAATGCACCAGCCAGGCAGAGCAGCGCTGCTGCTGGCCCTCCAGGGCAGGGCGATTTATCGTGAGACTCCATGGCTGCCATGTATTTTATTTTGGTTTGGTACTTCTGATCGAGTCCCATTGAGAGGTATCAATCTATAAAAACTTGTTATACTGCTACAGGAGAACCAGACACTACAACAGGCATTACAGCAAAACCACAACAACAAAAGTTAAGTTTATTCACCAGACCAGACCGCCTTCGAGCCACCACACATTCCACAGAGGAGAAGAAAAGACAAACCTTGCCTTAGCTTCTTCTTTCCCTCCTATCAATGCAAGATCTTTCCTCTTCTGGAGAGGAAGAGGACATAGGTGTTCTTAAAACATATGCAAACTGAGTAACACTGTTTAAATGTCCAAATCTTGTTTATCAGGGCGAGCTGCACATTTCAGAGCCTGCTGCCTTCAGTAAGCCCCAGACTCTGATAACATCACCTGCATTCCTCTGTAGATGAAGAGTTGTTAACTGACGACTTCTGCCACCAAACCCAAAAATTATTCCCATGTACACTTGGGCAAGTGCACCACAAGTTACGAATTCTGCCTTCCTGCTGATGCCTGCTTTCTTCTGCCTCACCCACCCAGCGTAACTGGCCTGACATCACAGCGGCTGCACACCCGACACTACAGAGGTCAGATGTTTAACAGCGATGGCAGCTGTGCCAACTATCAAGTGCATCTTCGTTCTGAGAGGCATCCTCCTGCAACGCCACAGCCAAGCGAGCTGCGCAGACAGCTGAGCAGCAAGTGCAGCACTTCCATCTCCCTCGCAAGCAGCAGAGCAGCACTTGGGTGCCTTCAATCACTGTTGCACGGGATTCAGTGAGGTAAGAGCTGGCAGGATGACGGCAAGCTGCAATTTAATTTCAAAGGAAGGAAACAGAGCTTTGAGTATTCATTGTAATAATGGTATCAGAGCACTTTTTTGGAGGGAGTGTGCACAGAACATTTCTGTCTCACGGGTCTTCTATCACACTGCTTCCTGTAAGATCTGCAAGTGCTGAAAGAGGAACACGGCCTCCTTGCAGACAGGAGGCAAGCGCTGCAAATCTCTTTGCAGTGGGCAATTCATTTGATAGCAAACACTTACGTTTCCAACAAGCTTTAGACAACATTCCTTATCGGAGACTCAAATCATTCCACTGATGTGAAATACTTTATTGAAACAAGCTTTTGGGAACCCAGCCTTACTCCAAGTCATACACTGGGAATTCACAGAATCGTGAGGCCAAACCACTGACAGAACGTAGCTGCTTTCAACCAGTACCTGCACAGTCATATGGCAGCAATGGTGGAAATGCAGGAAGAAAACAGAGTTTTAGTTCCCTTCTCTCTTTCTCCTCCATCATCTGTACTTGGACCTCTCTTTGTCTTTTGATTTCTTTGGACTTCTGCTTCTGTCTGCCTTTTTATCCCAGTCTCTTACTCGGACATCTTCTCTGTATTTGTCCTTATGCTTGCTGTAACTGGAGCCTCTTTCCTGGGATCGGCTGCGACTCCGATGCCTGTCTTTCTTCTCACTCTTTGTCTTCTCCCTGTAGCGCTCTCCTTCGTGCTTCCGATCAGAATCCTGTTAAAGGAATCGGATGCATACGCTGTTACAGACAGAAGAGGAAAACTGTAAAGGCATGAGGAGAACTAGGAAGAGTAGAGCATGGCTCCTCAGCTGCCTAAGGCTGGCACTGCCTGAAACAGATTCACATCTGTGATTATTTGAAAAGGGTAACACACCATAAATAAAACTAACTGCATCAAGATACATCTACAGAAAACTCTATGGGGTACAAGTCTATTTAAATGGCCTAAAAAAGGAGACCAAGAATGTATTGCATGTGGCGGTGGTGTCTGAGCACAGACACAAAACACTCTCTAAAAAACTGCTGCAAATCCAGGTAGGCAGAAATGAGGAAATATTGAATTTCCCTGGCTTTCTGCATAGCATCACAGAGGACCCTGCCTAGCAGGTTCAGAGCACAGGAGGGATTTGCTTGGGAGATAAATGTTATGTACCAAAGGAGTGTGGCTGTCAGCAGGACACCTCCTTTGCTCGCTGCCATAGGTGGATGGCACGAAACCACTGAGACAGCGTGTTAGTGAATGAAGGAAAGGTGGCTGAATTACTCACTGTGAAATGTGACACTGGTAGGTGATGACACCGTACATGCTAGAACGACCAGGTGGTAACACCAACACCCGGCCAGGCCAGAGCAGTTTCAGAAAGACAAGATCCTTTAGAAAGATGCCATTTCTCCTGTGAAGTCACTAAAAGTTTTTTTTTTAATAAACAGCCCTGATTTTTAACATATGAACTCCTGCTGGCATTTTTAAGCACAGCTAGGAACTATTTTGTTCTTACTATTCAATGAAGATATACAGGGAGACACAAAACACAGGAGGGGGCCTCAGATCCTGCAGGAAGGTGCAAATGCAACTTCCTACAGAGGAAGTGGTGGACACTTTTGAATTGAAAGCACGATCACAAGTTTAGTATCAACGTATGCTCTAGCAGGTTGACACCATTTTTAGTGGGGTTTTAATAACAACACCGGTAAACACAGATCTTTATGAACTATGGAAAAGGTCTGCATTAAATTATATACTATTTCTTAGTTTCAGATACGATTTTCATTTTTCTGAACTCTAAACTTTTCTAAATGCTCGTGGCAGTAACATTCACCAGTGTATGGCTAAAATCCAAACCACATTTATGATCACGCACATTTTATTTATTTTTTAATAGTGAAAACCCTATCAGTTACAATGAGCAACATGTACATAAACAACCATAGATTTGATCTTTATCTATGTAAATTAAAATTTCTGCTATTGCTGAGTGCAGCAATCTCACTGGTGGCCAAATATTATTCCACATCTTTACTGCTGAACTCTATTTCAGTACAGATTTTAAAATCTGAATCAACCAAAACGGAGTGTTGCTTTTTATATTTATAAACTATTTATAAGAGCTTTGTCCATTCATCTTCAGAATGAGGGACAGATTTCCCTACTTTAAAGAGCAACTATTTTACCAAATGTCTTACTAGTGAACCTGAAAGCCTTGGTCTCCATGTTTGGAAAAGAAGCCAGGTTCCAGGTCTCTCTGTGGCAGGGACTGAGTACACGCCAGAAGGTGGCCACCAGCAGTGGAATAGAAAGGAACAACACAAAAACACTGCCCAGTAAAGCAGATGGTGGGCTTGGTGTGCTGCTGCCTTCAGGGGGGTTGCTGCTGACAGAGAGCATGAGGGGGAACAGGAGAAACCCAGAACAACGCTCAGTAGAACATCTACAAAGCCAACATCAGAGACGGGCTACTGGCCAGATAGAAGCAAAAATTCTCGCTTGCAAGTCAGGGCAGGGAAAAGGCTAGCGAAGACCTGAAAGTAATGAAAAATTGCCTGCACTGAACATCACAGAAAAGAGTGACTTGCTGAAAGGATTAAAAAAGCCACAGGGGAATGGAGCCAGATAAGCACAATGATCTTTAAGAAGCGTTTAACGTAAAGGTGTACAGGACGTGTCTGAAGCTGTAAGTGCCACAAAAAGGTTGTCATAGCAGCAAATATGATGGCAGTCTAGACAAACAACACAGTCATTGAAGTCATTTATAGTAATTAACAAGATAAATTGCATCTTTGTTCTCAAAAAAAAAAAAAAAAAAGGAGTTGTATTTCCCCTTATGCAAGATTCTACCTTTTTGAAGTCTTTGGCACAGGGAAGGGTCACATTTTTAAAATGCTAAGTTACTAAAAATACTAATGGTATTTGAAATCCAATCTTTTATGCTCTGTCCAAGTCAGAAAAATGCTCTTTTCCCATTGGAAGCAGAAGAAAATTACTATATAAAAACAGACTCTTTCTTACTGCTGAAGTCCAGATTTCTCAATCCGGGATCGCTGCCTCTTACCAGTCAACAAATGAGTGACGATCACCCCTTTCTTAATCCAGCACTGTGCTGGTGAACACACGAGGAAAGAATTATCAGAAGAAGGGAAGAAACTGCTCTGCAAGTTCATGGCTGACTCTGCCAAAAGTAGTAACTTGCCAAGCAGCACTTGAACATAAATCAGCTTGAAATACCAGGATACAAAAGCAGAAGGAAGATAGGCCACCTCTACAGACATTAAGCACGCTAATTAAAGGTTAAAAGGAGCAAACAAGAAGAGGCAGCCATTTCAGCAGGGAGACTGATCAAACCTCATCAACCTCCAGTAAGTAGCAAGAGCAGAAGATTAAAAATAGAAAGATCATGATCTTTTTGCTAAAATCATGAACTGCAGAAATCTGAAAGTCTGGAAGGCCCTGTGTCTAACAAACAGCCACTGGTTAGACCCATCCTCCACAGATCCAGTTATTTTAAAAAATAAACAATCCAAGCAACCAAAAAAGACGCAGAGAAAACTGGTAAGGGAACAAGGTCATAATACAGATCTCAAGCAGAAGCAATCAAAATGCTGTGCCAAATCCTATCCACAAACCCACATGGTGGTGCAGCCTCTTGCTCCAGACCCACATCCTGTTACCTACTGAAAGCAAGCCACAGCACCCTACCTCTTCAGCCCTCTGGAAGCAAGTCAACAGCACAAGGTTCAAAAATAAATTCTTAAAACTTCAACACAAAGACTGAAGATTCAGGAAACTGGTGTCAGACTAAGAAAAGGGATGAGTCAAACTACACTAAAAAAAAAAAAAGGCAAAAAAAAAAAAGAACCAGCAAGAGAACAGAAAAACAACTCAACATCATGGAAACTATTCAGAAAATAAAACCCCCTTCCCTTCAGTCATAGCTGAAGCTGGTAGCACCAACTGCAGTTTCGGTTGCTAGAACTTCCTATTGTAAGACTCTGCTCTCTCTCAATTAAAACCTCTGACATCCTACGGGCTCAGGATGGAAGCTTATCTATGAGACACGGTCACTGCGGTCTTCGGCAATTGATTGTGGAAAGTTAACTGTTGTTTTCTTTTCAAGTTTTTACCTCAAAGGCTTCACCTATTTCCAAAATGGGGTTAAGGGAAAACACTTTGCTTGCCTGTTCTAAAAATGCTACCATTCAACAGAAAAGTTTCCGTGCTGTTACGCTTTGTGCTGGCCTCAGTACTCGCACTGAGCAGTCTCCACCTCGGGAACATGCCTCCCTCCCTGCTTCTTTTATGAGCTGCCCAGATTATGACCGTATTATAAATTTAAGAAAACAACAACAACAAAAGGCAGTTTGTATATTTTATGTGGGATTTGTCAGCTAAGCTGCCTGCAAAATGCATCTGGACAGGGCTGTGCTCATGTCACTTTACTGATTTTCTAAATTGGACTGAATGCATACTCACTTGGACTAGATCATCTTTGAAGGTCCCTTCCAAATGAACTATTCTATTCTATTCTACTCAGTAAATAGTGATTTATTTTTTTTCTACTTAGCTCATTTCTCCTTAATGCTCAAATCTCGACAGTAGTAACCTCTGCACTTGGTATTACAGGCATTCAGTTTCCATGAAACATCAACATTTTGACTACCTCAGGTTCACAGAAACGTGAAAATGCTGACTGAACAGGCTGCAGTGAATGACAGAACTGCTGTCTTCTGGCAATCCCCTCCACAGCCGGAGTCCTACAGCACTGTACAGATGCAAGTAAACCCACACAGAGATGTTGCACAAATATTTCCAAAACAATTCAGAAAAAAATAAACAGACAATTCAAAGAGGCTGTGTTTCTGATTCCACATGGGAGAAAGCCAACATGCACTTCTGGCAAGAAAATAAAAAATAGATTGCATTCATGAAATATCATTAACTTCTGGTTTATGACTGGGAACATGTGAACAACAGGTTCAAAGTGCTGAAGATCTCCTATTTTATGAGAGGCTACACTGCCTCTTCAGGACGTTTTGGCAAAAAGCCATTCAGACATGCCAAGCTTCGAAAGTCCAGAAAGATTTGGGAAACCTCTTTCATAATCAAGCACTGACATCAGCCTTCTGTACGTTTACAACCGCTGTATTTTATGGGACTTTGCACACCAGGTCCCCAGTTCAAAATCAGACTTCTTTTTCCTGGCTTACCCTTACTAGGAAAATAAACTGCTATCAAGTTAAATCATTAATGCAAGAAGAGGTGAGCACCTTGTGTTTTTTGGTCCGCTTGTCATCCTCTTCATCTTCAGAGTGGTGATGCTTTTTCTTCTTCTGCTTTTTAGCCGAGTGCGATTGACTTGTTTGAGACTCTTCTTCCTCCTCCTCTAGCACAAGGTCATACTTGGCACTGATAGTGTTGGTTAAGGGCATATTTATTACTTAATATCAATAAATATCAGAACACAGAAGTTCATGAAGCAAACAAACCCCAGTTTATCAGACAGTGAGTGGTTTATGAAGGCACACAGGTATTGAAATAGTCAGCTGTGTTAAATGCCTGAATTCTGCCCCGTCAAACACTACAGCCAGGTCCCAATTCACTCTTTTTTTCCACGCCCCCCTACCTACAGATCTCTGAAAAAGTTACAGCTTTCTGTTCTCTCATGCTCACCACAAGCAAAGCAGGATTGCAGAACATGATTTAGTCACTACTATTGTCCCATTCCAGGTGCAGCAGATCCCACGTGAAACTACTTAAAACTCTGTTATGCCTTATGTCACTCCATGGCTTTACATGGGGAACATTATTTACCTGCACACAGCGTATTCTCATTTGATTACATTCACCTTCGTCACTAAACGAAAAAGGCAAAATGTTTAATTCCATCTCAAACACCAGATGGTTATGTGAAGCTGCAGCAAAAATATACATTTGGCAAGCTTTAAGAATAAGTCTTTTCCAGACTGTTTTCATAAACTCTACTTGGTGCAAAAAATACATTTGACCGGAAAAGGATACTCCTGCTTTGGTTTTACCTTCTCTTTCAGAGCAAATTTTGAAGGTCTGTCACGTTCCTTTTCATATTCTTTGAAATCATCCTTGGTATACTGCCCACCTGTCCACAGAAAAATATATTCAACTCACTGCAGCTAAAAAAGCAAACAAGGGATCTTCCTGACCCTACAGGGATTCATATAGTTCCAAGAAAAACACTGACATCTGGATAACAGAGTAGAAAAGGGTAGGGCAAGTCATGATTCTGTGCTTCTCTTGCTTGCAGATCTCATTAAACAAATTACGGTTTTCTCCTCAGTCACATCCTCAGTCTCAGTAGAGACAAGGCATGAACAGGATCACAAAGCAGGATTTAGTAACTTGTTTAGCCCCTCTTTGATTATAGGTCATTTAATAGTGAGAATAGTCACAGGCTTTTACAGTAACAGTAATGTATCACAGGACCTGTGCCCTAGGACGCAGAAAGGGAAACCTCTGAGACAGCTACAGCTCTCCATCTGAATTCCTAAGCTGTCAAAAAATCATTATGTCTTAAGAGGGGCATCACCCATTTCATTTTCCACCCATTCACTTGGCAACAGCAGCTCACAGACTGAAATGCTATTCTATGGCAACATGCTGCCATCGCCCGGTCCTACTTGAAACTGCAAGATTAACTGGCTGGGTCAGAAATAGCCCCAAATATCCTCAAACATCTGAAACTGGTTTGTTTTTTAAACATATAAGCTATACAATATGCTCGATATAGAGGAGGTGAAGAGAGGAAAGGCTTGGCCTGAATGTTCACTTTTCCTTGTGTACACCCAACTGTCATACAGTGAATAATGAAACTAGAAAGCAACAGGCACTGCCACATTAATGTTGCTGATAAGCATCTTCAAAAGCACCACTTTTGAAGCTTGAGGTAGGAACGTATGATTTACCTGCAAAAATCTATCTGTTGAAAGGCAATCCATGGTGATACAATTTTTTGTTTCTGAGCTAGCCAGTACATGTAGCAGTAGTGAAGAGAAGAGCTAGAAACCCTGTTGCTCTGTTACTATATTGCCAGGGGAATCTACACCCTGGAAGATTAGATGATTTAAGCTCTTAACAATTGCTTCTCTTTACATAAATACTTACAGTTTAGGAGTCATGGCTTATTAAATTGTGAGGGTCAAAAATCACATGTACTTACCTTTTCCTTTCCACTTAATCTTTGCAACAGATTGGCTAAAATCCACATGTATCCGTCTGTCATCTATTAGCACGTTGTCCATTTTGAAATAGGCTTTCTCACAGTCTTCCTCCTGACATTAATGTTTCCAGAAATTTTTGAGTCATGTTTATATCAAAGGAGTATTCCACCGAAGAGCTCAAACACAAACTTAACTGCTCAGTGGTGTACGTTTCCCAATGAACACACCACACATGGTATTTTTCTTAGAATTGCGTAAACCACAACAGTTCATGCATTGTGTCGTTTCAAAAGAAATAGTTATGCTTTGTCCCAGTGTAAACATTTAAAATTACTTTTTTTTTCAGTTCATTTCACCTCTTTAAAAACTTGCCAGGGACAACAGCAACTAACAGAAGTTCCATTTTAAGTGCACAATAGGCTAACGGAACGTGTTCTTGCTTGTCCAGTGTTTTCCAGTTTTCCTCACAGATCAGCAAGACTATCAGAAAGTCTCTAGCAAGAAGCTATGCACCATCAAGAAGCTTTTACGAGCAATCACACTGTATGAGCAGCATGTGGATAAAGCTAACGCCATTTACAACCCCAGTAAGTACTGTAGCACAGTGGTGTCGACACCGATCTCCCTTCTTTCATATTCCCTCCTCTCTTTACGCAGCACTACCCCATTTTCTGCTGCCATTCCCTTCTTTTACTCTTCCTAACTGTTTGAAAGTCCTAATGTACTCAGAAAAAACACAGTCCTGCTCTAAACCCACTGGTTTCAAGAGCAGCTAAGGCCATATTCGGATTGTTTGGTGAAAAAAAAGATTTTTGACTGATTTAGGACATACAACTTCCGCAACTCAGTCAGTAATAGAAAATGGTAGCTACCCCACACTTGAAGATTTCACTGTTCTCCTTTCATGGTAGTATACTGAAAATGAACCTTGATAAGCAGAATCTACATCCAACACAACTACAAAACGTACCTTTTCAAATTCAATGAAAGCATAACAAAGAGATTCACCAGTCTTCCAGTCTCGAATCACTTCGCAGCTGAAAAATTGGCATGAGATTAACATGTCAGTGCTTTCAGAGCAAGACTCATGTAAGTATTGCTTAAAAGGGAGAGTAACAGTTTAAGAATGCAAGAAACAGAAAGACAGACCTCAAAGGTATTTTAACACTTGATTCTGAGACCCTTACTGATATGGGTGTTACTGCACAGGCAAAGTGCACGTGGTATTACTGAAGTAAGTAATTATAATGCTTAGTTCACAAGTCCTTAACTTGAATTGTAAGCCAGGGATGAACTGTAGAACTGGGGACAGAACTGTAGAACTAGGGACAGAACTGTAGCATTACTGAATAAATGAAACAAAATTATTTTCCAACAGTACTGCTTGCGACTGAGTTTTTGCCTTTCACCAGTAAGAGACAATAAACCTCGCATTCTGTTTTTACAGTCATTGAAGGAAAGTTTAAATTGGCAAATTTCTCTTCTTAGCAAGCACATTGCTAGCAGCCATCTTATCAGGCAGTTCACTGGGGAAAAATACGAGGCCTGAAGTATTGGATCAGTAGAAGTAAAATGGGAATAATTACAGTACTGCACCCGTATTACCAAATTCATACACAGCACCAGAATTCCAAATGCAGTATGTTGAAGGAGCTCAAATAGGCAACAGATGCAGTAAATAGGGCATTCATGTGAGACTTGAAACTCCTTCAAGCATATTGTGCAACTGACATAATAGGATTTAATACACAGTTCAAAAGATGATCAAGACAAAAAAAAAAAGGGGGGGGAGAAACTGAGTATTCAGACAAGCTGTATGAATTCTTTACAGCAGCCGCTAATTAAGAGGAAGGTAGGACTGTCTTATGCAAGGACTCTTCTCTTTGTTGAATTATTCAGAGAATCTATCTAAAAGTGGAAGGTATGCAAAAGAGTTTATTAAACAAACTGATAGGGGAAAATAAAAGGTATAAAAGACCCCTACAACACCCAGAAATTCTGCTCCCGTGTGTGGTGAACACAGTATCAGTCACAAACACACACCCTATGGAGTGCACAAACTTGTAGGAATGTGATGCAGAACTGACTTAGTGGGCATCTGAATAAATGGGACCTACCCAAGACCATCTGAATAAACCTAACTAAACTTCTCTGAAAGGGTCAACGTGCCTATGCAAGATAGTGAGTCACCTTTGAAATCCCTCTGGAAATTCTAAGAAACTTCTGCACAAAAGGGTTTTAGTGAAATTAAGCAGTAATGGCATAAGAAGGATCTTTCTATCAATAAAAATGTGCAAGACAGGGTAAAGTAAATAGTCGGTTCTCATTGAGGAAGCAAAGAAGTCACCCATGGAGTTTGCTAAGGATTCTAAATTGTTAAAGGTGGTAAAAATAAAGACTGAAAAAAAAATTGCAAAGTTCCCAGGAGTTCAACTGAATAACAAAACAGCAAATGATATGCAATGTAGATAAATGCAATAGGATGAGCATGGGTGGAGGGATCCTAACTGTGCATTGTGAAAAAGGTTCTGAGCTGGCAGTTAGCACTAAAGAGTAGGATTCTAAAATCTGTAAGTTTTTGTTTTGTTTTGTTGTGAAATGATCAACTTGCTAATAGTACAGGCTATAAAGCATTTACAGCTCTAGTAATAATTAGAAAAGGTGTCGAGCGCAAAGTGGAGAATACCACGCTGCCATTCTAACTGTAATTTCTTTAACACTGTATGCAGTTCCGTTCCTCTCATCTCGAGGTAAAAACAAAAGAACAGAAAAAAGCTGAGAAAAGGGAAACGAGGTAAGGCAAATTCCTCTACAAACTATGCTGCCTTGTACTCTTAGCCAGAAACAAAGATGATTTGAGAGTATATGATAGAGAGCTGTAGGAAAGTAGGTTTCACTTCACTATCTTTTGATACCAGCATAGGGGGAAATCAGCTGAAACTACTAGGAGCCAGGTTCAGAGCTGAAGAAGGCAGCAGGCATGGGGAACACCTTAACAAAGAACACACTGAGTGCTAGAAATGTTTACCACTTTATCCCAAGCTGTACATACTCCCAGGGAAAATTAAAGCACGGAGACTATATGTAGCTCATATAGCATCTGAACTGTAGACTGCAGATAGGAGGGTGAGGGCAGGGGGCTGGGAAAAAATATTATATATGTCTCCCTTGTTCCACTTTCACTTAAAGCCACTGCTGGAGACAGGATATTCAGCTAGCTAAATGTGACCTTGTATCACCACCATTGTCATCATCTGCCCAGGGTTAAGCCTCCAGAGACACCAGAATACTACTTAACAGTCCAACCTAAATAGACTGATGGGTATAAAGTTCAGTTTCAACGAAGAAGGTTTTCTTCTTCACATTACAATAATTACCTTTTAATTGGACCAAATCGTGAAAATATTATCTCTAGGTCTTCATCTGTAGTCACAGGATTCAGTTTACAAACAAACAGCACGTTTTCTGGTGGCTTGACTTCTGCATCTGGTAAGTCTCCCACCTGTGGGATACAAAAATAGACCTTCATCACTTCTGCCTAAAGTTCTCTGTATTTTACTACCACAAGCACACTGGCAATACATCTTGTGGATGATTTCAGACACAATCCTATCACAAAATCAAAACCAAACACAAAATTTTTCTCACTCAATGTCGCAGTAAGAGTATTTTCTAAAGAACCTAAAAACAATTAACCTATTTGCGATTCCACCACAGGGATTTCAGGAAAGTCACAAATACTTTCCCACCTTGCTTTCCCTGTTCGTAACTTAACAATACTCAGTTCTAACTGATGAAGAGCCCCACTCTTTACTTTCCTTTTTAGAATAAATGGTGAAAGTGTGATTTTAGAGCCACTCTGTTTCAAAAATAGAATGGACTAGATCCATTCTTCAGTTTCTATCTGTGCCTAAGACAACTTCAAACTGCCTTGAAGTCTGGCAACAACTATCTTAAATTTCAGTTTGCCCTACTTGATAAGGATGACAATTACACACCTTTGTTCAGATAGACAAAGGGAGGCAGCATTCATGCTACCTAGGAGACAACGCTTGCTTACAGTATGCACAACCTTGATTTTTGCAATCTCAGATCAAAATTCCCTCATCAGAACCAGCAATCTAAGCTCCAGAGGAAAACACAAATACACACAACACCTCCTGTTGAATTGCAGCACTTCTTTACGAAACCTGAATAAAAGACTAGTGATACACAAACAATTTATCTCCACCTTTTACTTAATATGCTAATAAAAATGTAAATGTACATTAGTGTTGTAACAGGAAGAAGCAAAGTAACACAAGTAAGAAACAGATTCCAGAAAAGATCCTAAGCACACGACGTGCTGTCAGAAATGTTAGTACACTAAATTTCTCATCTCTTCAGGTAAAAGTAAATACAAAAAGATGTTCACCATCTCCAGAAGAATGGCACGAGTTTTCGCTTCTTTTTCTGCCTGAACTTCTTCTATTTCATCTGCAGATCGTCCTTTCAAGTCATCAATTTCTTCATCTGCTCCTATTCTGCCACTCTGAAAAAAGTTGAAGGGAAAAACTATTTAATAGCAATCCATGGTCAAAAGATTCTCTCATTTTCCAAATCTTACTTGGATGCTTTCTGTCTTCCACTTGTCCCCCCTTCCGTAATACTTTCACAAAGTATTAAAGACAGATTCTTATTTTGACCAGTCTCTGCTGGCAACTAACAGGGATCTGTTTACTTAATTCTTTCTTCCAACTTTCCCCAAGAAGCTGTCACAAATACTCACATCTAGCTGCTCCTTAGTAGGTTCTGGTGAGCGATCAGGAATAGACAAGCCAGGTGGATCATCAAAGGGATCATCTAAAATTACTGTATGATTTATCCTAATAGGGAACAACATCAAGACCAGAATCAGCCAACAAGCAAATAAAACTCTCTTTACCCAAGTAATAGGAAAGCAGCCCTGCTGATTCTCAGTTATTTCATAAAAAGCCACACATACTTGTAAATACTAGAATCAGTGCTTTTATCAGTGCAAGGTAGGTGCACATTTTCTTATGATTTTTCTTATTTTAGTAGCTGCTTATTTTCTTATATACCTATTTCCATAATAATACATAACCTAGTAACATCTAATATCAAGTAATGTTGCACTTTTTTGCTGCTAATTCCTTCTCCTACATAAATCTAGAAATCACAATTAAAAGAATCATACAAATGGAATAAAACTTCTTAGAGCAACTACATTGATTATTTTGCTCAAATTTTCTTATACTTTAGGTTGGACAACATTTCCATCCCTGTTCCTGCAAATTCACATAGGTGTTAAAGACTCCATGAAGATATGGAGCCCATCTGAAAACACATGCCTACACAAACGCTCAGATTTATGGCTTACAACTCGTATCAACTCATGACAGACTTCCATAATAAATACTATGGTACTTTAGGAGGAAAATCAAATTCCTGTAAAGGCAGAATCATACAGCATTTTAACAATAATAGTGCAATAAAAGAGTATTTTAGATACCATGTACAAGTCACCTAACATTGCCATATCAATTTAGTTTCCAAAAAGACGGATGTGTTAAAAATCCTCCAAAACGGGAAGTTAAATGCAGTCACACCTGATATCTTGATATGGGATAAAATCCTTATCCACAAAGGTTTCGTTAATCGTCTTCAATACATCCATGCCTTCGGTCACTTCTCCAAATACCGTATGCACACCATCAAGGTAATCCAGGTTTTCCCCTGTTGTAATAAGAAACTGCAAAAAAAGATACAAAATCAGTAACAGTGAATGGAAAAAAAGAGGGCTTCAGTTTTACCTTAGGAGAGATAAAATTCTCACTGGAGTCAGGGGGAAAAAAACCTCTTCCTAACTTCTGCATTCTTAAATGTAAATGCAAATATCACTGCTTCTTCCTTAAAAAAAATCCTACCAACAATTTCATACTTCCAATGCAGAGAAACAGGAAAATTATCTCTGTATATTATAACAAGCTCTAGCTGGAGCAAAATCACATTTATTGTTTTTTAAGTCGTTCTTTCTTCATGAAAAAAAATAATTCAAATGTATGGATATTTCATGTGACGCATTTTAATACATGTATATAGAAGTGACAATGCATCTAAAATAATTATTGAGAAATTGTATCGTTCTATGAGATTAGAGCTTTAAACATACCTACAGAAAAAGCTTTGTGCACTTGAACAGGGAACAACATCAATTTCAGAAACTGTTTTATAATTTTTTTTTGGTGTGGGAAGAAATAAAACTTGCACTCAGATAAAATTATACATTTACATTTCTTAATGCACACTTTAATGTAATCATACAGAGAACGCTGTGATTTCAGTTTCCAAACTAAGATGAAGTTATAATTGGAAAGTTTTAAGATTATTCTAAAAAACAAGTTCTTCACTTTTCATATCCATTTAACTACAGGATTTGTTATTGCTTAATCTTATTCTAAGATTAGCAAAATCACATAAAGGTATTAACGAAAATGAATAAACAAAGGGAAAAAAATGAGAGGGCTGAATTTAACAAAATTTATAAATTTGAGCTAGGCCAGGATTTGAATCTGAACCTCTTTCTTCTCTGTAATCAAATACCTACTGGCACCTGGAACACTATGAAAAGTTTTTATCTAAGGCCTTTTTTATTCATGCCTTTTGACCATCTTACAAGATGATGCTCTTGAGATGACATCATTATTGTTATACCTTTTTTGCAAATTCAAGGAATTTTCATTTTTCTTACTTAGACGAGCACTTCCAACACTGCATACTGACCTGTGATCCATGCTGATCACTGCCATTGTTCACCATGGACACGGTTCCTTTTTTCTTGTGCTTAATTCTCGGCACTTTTTCTGCTTCAAAAAATCTGGCTTGATCACCGTACAGTTGACTGAAAATACATGGGAAATATGTTATATGTTATCAAGCAAGTAAGTATTTAAAAGTGAGATTAAAAAATGCTGTAAAACCGTAAATGCAACTTTTTTTTTTTTTACATCAGCGCAATGTGCACATTTTTATGTACCAGTACAGTTATACAGTTCACTTTATATTACAGATAACAGATTTTTCTCTGATGCATTTCAGAGGGTTTTGTTTGTTTGTTTGTTTGTGAGGGCTTGTTTCTGGTTTTTAGTGCAGCATACAGTATTTTTCTAGGGCCTGAAGGGAGTACAGATTTTGATAAGGGTCCATCAGAATAAATTAAGCCAACACTTTAAAAATGTAACAATTTATGCTTTCAATTTCTCTTTCAAGACAAACAGAAAGCCACTATTATCTGCATATAAATTAAGTTCATCGTACATGCAGGACTGTATGTACTTTATAATTTAAGATATAAAAATATGACAAATCATCAAAACATTTTTAATTTTTGAAGTCTATCCCTGATTTTCACCTTACTCCATAATTGACAGGGGCACGGTCAATACATAGTTTTGCCCAAATATAAGGAACAATGTTGTGTTTGAACTGATTTTGTTAAGCAGGTATAGGTCTTTATGAAGAGAAGATTCAAATTAAAGTTTGCCTGCATCAGTTTCCTGGGTAGCAGGAAACCCCAGTTCTGTGGATTTCAGCAGTAATGAACAGGTGGAAATGACATATTGCTGTTCTCCATGCTAGCCGCAGAAGAGTATCTGCAACTCGCTTATCACATTTTCCTTCTGTATCTGCCATACTACTGGGCCTCAGAAGAAGACCAAAACAATCCTTATAACAGAAAATAATGTAAAAATGAACTTGATCTACTCACATGCAGAGACAGCTCAGGTCTGGCAAGCACGCCTACCTAGACTCACATCTCCCTAGCCCAATTAAACTGCTTCCAGGATCACAACAGTTCCACATCCCCCAGGTTTTCTATTTTAAAGGCTCTGACAGACCAGACCAGAGTTACAAATATCAACACTGGTCTAGCAACACTGGCTCTGGTCAAACTGAGCTATTTATCTCTGTGTGCCACATTCCTCAGCACCCCAGGTTTTTAGTTCTACTATACAATTTTAATTCTATTTTTAATATTATTTTTAAAGGAAACATACAGAACACACGGACTTTGCTAGGTTCCACTTTACTGTTTGAACTTTTTCAGCTTCTATGTTTATGACCATTAACATTTTCAACAAGTCAATTTTTAAGGCAACACGGTTGCTTTCTTGCACACAGGAAATCAAGCATAGCCTCTGTGTTCCCCTCATGCTCAATTAAATATATTTTGTTACAAAAAATAAAAGCAGTAATAAACTGCTAGTAATTGTGCCTTCTGTGGAGCAGTTGGTTATATTCATCCTGCAAAACCAAACCTAGTTATTTGCTCACTTTTAAATAAGTAGACATTTACATACAGCCAGTTATAACTATGTTTCTAAGGTCAGAGATAGAATACTGTCCAGAAAAGGCATCTCAATGGTCAAGGACAGCGTAGGAATTAAAAAAGCATTTGGCTATAAAAGCTGAAGAAGCTTATGCATCATTGTTACCTCCCATCAGTAACGCTGCCTCAGAAGAGCTGAAGACAAACCAAGCAGACCCTTTGCTCCCGTATGATGTCTCTGCTATGAAGCGGCACAAACGTGTTTTACTTACCAAAATACAGATTCGCCTCCACGGCCGGTCCCCATGGGGTCCCCAGTTTGTATAATAAAGTCCCTCTGTCACAAAGCAGAATACGTAAGATATTGCTGTCGTGTTTGCGAATTTAAGCCAAGAAAAATATAGAGAGAGAACTGCGAACACTCACCTGCACATTGTAAATGAGGCAATAGTTGTAGTACTTGATTTTGCAGAGCTTCAGGAAATTCAGGCAAGCTGCAAGAAAACACACTGCCGGTTACCGGAGGGGCTGGCGGACACGGTACGCACGGCTGTAAGGGGATGCTCCAGGGGCTCAGCCTGCCCCCCTGCCCATCTCCCCGTTTCCATCTCCCCGTTGTCAGCCCCCCCGCGGGTACCGCACACGCCGCCCCCGGGCGCCTCCCGCCCGCAGCCCCGCCGAGGCCCGAGGCGGCCGGGCCGGGCCGTGCCGTGCCCCAGCCCCGTTCCCCATCGCAACGCCGCCCCGTACCGCGGGGCCGCTCCTCCGTGTAGAGGTCGATGACCAGGTCGCCCAGCGTGGTCTCCAGCAGCACGGCCATGGCTGCTGCCCGCTCCCTCACGGCACGGCACGGCCCGGCCCTGCCCGCCGCGCGGCCGCCCTCTGCCGGGGCGGAGGAGGAGAAGCCGCTGGGGGCCGGGGCTGAGGCACCGCGGGGCGAGGGGCGGGGGGGGCCAGCATTGCGCTGGGTTGCCCAGGGAGGTGGTGGAATCACCGTCCCTGGGGGTGTTCAAGGAGAGGTTGGACGTGGTGCTTAGGGACATGGTTAGTGGTGACAGTGGTGGTAGGGGGGTGGTTGGACCAGGTGATCCTGGAGGGCTTGTCCAGCCCTAGCGATTCTGTGACTCTATGACTTCAGGCTGCACAATTTTCATCTCTTTCTGGGTGAAGCCCTGGTACTGACTGCACAATGAGTCGATCTGAGTCACAGGTCTCTTGCTAAACAATTTATTCCCTATTGCTGAATCTGCCAGATCAGTGACCTGAGTTGACAGTGATCTGAATACAGTAAAAGGGAAGCAGTGAAGGTGAGGGAGCAGAAATGCGCAGTTAGGAGTACAAAGAGATGCATGTCGGTAAGAGCAAGATCTTCTCCTTAAGTACCAGAAAAAATAGCATCAGATAACCATGTTAAAAAGTGCACCTTAATAAAAAGCCAGACAGGGAATTTAAATGGTTTTCTGTTCATCATTATCCTGCCGCATGATGGTCCTGGAAACTAAGTGGGCGGGTCCTGGGACCAAGTCTGCACTTTAGGAAGTTGTATTTGCATCCTTGGTGTGCTAGTTTTCAAAGCTGTTAGTGCTATTTAGCATTTTGCAGTGTTGCAATGTTTCTGCGAGTTTAGTCCCAGTCTGTACATCGCTCCTGAATTGATTTAAGACTGTTTTTAAGCCATCCTGTGTGGCAGTTATTGATATAGCACACATTACATTTATTTACTCTGAAACTTTAAGAGGGACTTAAACAGCATATCAGTTTTATGCAAGCCTGCGCTAACTGAAGTTTAACTATTGAAGATGGAGAATATGAAGATGGAGTTTAACTAAGTTGAAGATGGAGACATTCAAAGACGTTCAGGAAGGAACAGGTATTCCTGAATTCCGTTTCAGTGAGATGCTGAATTCCTTGAGGTGAGCTGATAACCCAGCTTGAACTTTGCTGAATCTGTAAATTCAACAGGTCAGCGAGCCTTGTTTCCTTGTACTTTTATACGCTCTGACACCATTAATTTTTATGCCTTTGGTACATTCAGTAAACACGTTAATCATCATCTTAACACACAAAACACTGGAGCATTGTAGCTTGCTTTTGTGTATCTAGGATTCACCAGCCTCGTGGGGATGTAACCTCCAGTCTGATTTGCATGGAGTGCAACACGTAGTTAGGAATGTACATAACTTAAACTTCCTCCCACCAGCACAGGCAAACGACTGCAAGTACTAACAAGAGTCTCATTCTTGTAGCTACCATCCTGTCCCCAGAGACTCTTATGTGCCCCTTAAGCGACTGGGCAAAATGTCATGTTGGGGAGCTGACATGTAGATTTTTGCCTCATTAGACTGCACAGTGAACGGATCCTTCATCTCTTTCTTTTAATTTACTGCACACAATAGATTTACAACAACAACAGAAAAAGGCAGGTTTAGGACAGATTTAAGAGAAACTGTGTGATGTTAAAGAGAGACACTGGAAATCAAGACATCTGTGCTTTTATTCCTCATGCATTACTGCCTGGTGTGATTACAGGGAAATCAGTTAACCAATTTTATTTCTTCTAACATAAAATCGTACTAACTACTGCCAATAAATGTATTTAGTGATGACATATTTGAGGTTTTCATGTAGCACACATTTCGCAATATGAAAATTTCCCTTTCCAACGCCTTGTACCTCATGCCGGATGTTTGCACCAGCGTGTCACGACGGCACAGCGCGGATGAAATAACAAGCCTCTGGTTTTCATGCTTCGTGTCCACTGCCGGCTGTGTGAGTCACAGTGCAAGATGAAGTGGGAACACAGACTCCTTCACCAGGGCGTTATTGCTGTGTCCCGGGGGGACTAAAACCTCCCTGGGGTACCTGCTCGTTGCCACCCTCGCTGTTGTAAGGTTACCCGGAGACGCAGCGCGTCCCTCTTTGCCTGTGGCTTTGAGCGCTCGTCAAGTTTCCCTCTCTCCTGGCCTGAAGCATTCACTCCTGGATCCCAAATAACAACACCGATAAGCACTGCCGAGCCGCGGGGGCCCTTCTGAGGGGAGCCCTGACCAGAGGGACGGCTCCAGCCGCCTCCTTCACCCCATACCCGGCTCCAGCCGCCTCCCTTGCCCCATACCCAGCTCCTACCTCCTCCCCTCGCCCCACACCCGTTTCCTACCTCCTCCCCTCGCCCCACACCGCCCCGTCTGGCCGCCCGTCCCCCGTCCCCGCCCCGCCGGCGGTGTTTCACTTTGTTTTCGTTCCCGGGTCGCAAGATGGAGGCGGTGCGGGGCCGGCCCGGGCTGCTGCTGCCGCTGCTGCTGCCGCTGCTGGCCGCCGCGCTGCTGGGCCCAGCCGCCGCTCCACAGCTGGGCCAGGTACCGGGCCGGGATGGGCCGAGCCGGGCCGGGAGGCTCCGCGGAGCCCTCCGGGGACCGGCTGGGCTGAGGGCGGGCTCGGCTGGGTGGCGGGGGGCTGTGCGCCGCCACCCCTGCCCGCAGGCAGCGCCCCGCCGCCCGTAGGCGAAGGGCAAGGGCAAGGCTCGCTGCCCGTGTCCGCAGGGCGCCCTGCGGGGGGGGGGGGGGGGGGTAAATGCGATTTAAAATGCCCCAAAAATAGCTATAATGGGGGGTGGGGGGGTATTTGGGTGCGGTGCGCGGGGTGCCCGGCCGCGCCGTGACGGCTCGCTGCTCCTCCCGCTGTCCGTGCCCGTGCGTGGGACCCGCAGGCGGATTGGGGTCTCTCGGCACATCGCGGGGCGCCGTGCCAGCTGCTGCTTTCCCCGTCCAGAAGCCGGGCTGTGTCCCGGTGAGGGCCGTTTCGAGTTAAATGTGTCTTTGCGAGGAGCAGAAGGAATGCTGTGGTGCTGTGCAGGGATGTGCTGAGGGGGGATGCAGCGATGCGCCGTGACGGGGGGAGCTGTGGCCTCGAGGACTACAGAAGAGAACCGGCTGCTTTGGTGCCTGTGGTTAAGTCGTGACTAAATATCTTCCTCAGATCCTAGGAATCGTGGCCTGCCAGCTGTGAGATCCCACAGAGGGAAGATGGGGTTCGTAGTCACTTGCCTAGCCATAGCAAAATCGCTGTCACGGGCGTGAATTTATTACGGCTTCTTTTCCTCCAGAGCCCCTGCGCTGCTATAACGCCATTCCAAGGCAGCCTGGCGCAGGCCCTGCGCTGGCACATCCTGTGCTGCAAAGCAGGATCCTGGGCTCGCTTCCTGGTCCCTGCCTCTCCTGGTGAGCCTCTGGAGGGAGATGGGCTTAGCTCCTCAAAATGGGGATCTAGGTCTTCAGAGATCTGTAAGGATGCACCTGTCCTTGAAGTCAGGCGCATGGAAGTACGAGAGGGCAGAGAAAGCTCAGGTACTTCGTGAATCCCCCTCTGAGGAAAGGAGAGCGATGTGGGATTGGGCAAGCAGAAGTAGCAGAGGGATATAATATAAGCCTGCACCATTGCTTACCATCTTCCATCCAGAAACTGTCACACTTTCACACCAAAACTTCAGCTCTGTAGTGTTAAAGCTGTTCCCCACAGCGGGCAATTACACAAGACACGGCGGCACATCTGCTCATGCTGCCTTAGGGTCTGAAGGTGTGAGTGAGCGTGGCGCAGGGGTGCCTGAGCTGGTTACGTGGTAGCCAGCTTGGGGTCAGAGGTAGGGTAGGTATGTTTCAGAGTAAAGCCTGACGGAGTAACTGCGGTGTAACGCCTGGTAAGCATAGGCATGCTGTTTGTTTGTGGGGACAGGTTTGTCCTTTTGTGCTGTACTGCTCAGGTGGTCTGCCAGCAAAGTTTTTGCCAGCTTAGAAATATCTGCACCTTTTTGGCTTTATAGTGGCATGGTAGCATAAGTATGTACAGAAAAGCTCTTTCAAGAGTCAGAAAGGGAACAAGCACTTCTATTATTTTTTTCAGTTTGAAATTTTAATATATACATATATAAATAAGTCATGTTTCCTTCTGCACTGCTTCTTTCTGTAAGTACAGGATCATGTTTGATGTAAAAGGAAGAACACATCTTGAAAGAGTTTTGAGTAGAAGAGTTGTTCTTGTCTGAGCAGGAGCTGATTTATATTAAGTAGCCTGGTAGGAGAAGAAGGGAACAGGCAGAACGGGAATTCAGCACTCATGGGCTGGCTTCAGAGGCCACAAGCTTAACAACTCATGGCATGGGGGCAGAAGGATCTTTCCTCGGGAAGGTTTGGAACTGCAGGTGGTCTTTTAAGCTTTTCTTTGGCTACCATGACTGTGCACTCCATAATTCTGGGAGTACACTGGCGGGATACTTCTGACAGCTTCACGTTTTGTAGTTCTTGTGCATTGTGTGAAAGTTTACCTCCAAGTCGATGTCCACGATGTTACAAAACCTGTAATGGAAGGATTGAGGAAAGACACAGGCATTTTGGAATAACGTGTGCAATCGCGTTTTGTAAGTCTGAAACACTGTTGTTGAGCTCCGGAATGTGAACGCCCCCCTTGTTGTGCAATACTTGTCGTTTCTTAAATAAGCTGTTTTGAAATCTGGGCTTTTTTTAAAAAACGTTAGCATGTGTGCTTTAGCTTTGCTTTCTCCTCCTGAAATTTGCATGAGCAAATCTGGATTACAGAGTGATTGATATTAGCATAAGTTTATATAAAAAGGCATGGAATCATGCAACATGATAACCGATCTTTGTGTTAAAGGACTGTACTTTTCTGATGCTAGGTCAAGAATTAGATTTTGTGTTGTAGACTATTTTTAATGTGCTGATAAAAGCTGGCTAAAAGCACAGCGGGCTGAATGCTGTGATGTTTGTTCCATTTGTCTCTAGATAATTTAGATTTAACTGTTTACTTTTGAAAAGGCTTACTTACCTACCGGATTTTTTTAGTGCAGTTGCTTGAAAAACATTTTTTCAGGCTGTTGTTGACTGCAAGAAACCTCTA